TCTCGGAAAATGCACTTATTTTGCATTGCTCACTTTACGCATCAACATGTGCCCGGGTGGCCGGCTGGATACCCTTCGCTCAGGCGGGGTGGGAATTAGACCCCTCCGAGATCTCAAGAACTAAAAAGGCTAGAGACACCAATTTTACAGGGTGTGTTAATCTGTACGTGAAATCACCTAGGCCGAATTTTGAAGCTCCTAGATCATGACCTTCGGGTCAAATAGGGTCAAAGAATGTAAAATTCCAGGTTGGTCTCCAAAGTGCTCCAGAACCCAAATAACTGTTTGTAAGCAAAAAGTCACATGCTCATTCAAGATCAGTGACCTTGTTTAACCTTTTGAATGTCATAGGGACCCAAATCATGCAAGACTGCTATGAGTTTTCCATTTGGATAAGCGACAAAGATTACGCTAGGGAGTGTGTTTCTAAAAACAACATCTTGACCTGGATTGCTTCAGGTCAATGACCTATTCTGACATCTAGGAAGTCCATGGAAGATGTATAACGCGGTTCCTACTGTCAATAGATTCGAGATGAGCGCCAGAAACTATTCCATACAACAAGCCCTCGAGTAATAAAACAGATTGCCTTTGCCCTTGGTTTGACATTCATACCTCACCTTAGGTCAATGTAATTTTATCATTCATTATTTATGTTGCCTAAGAAGGCATCTCAGAGATGTATGGCCTCGTCTAAGACTCCGTTGTTCCATCAGACTGAACGAGTCCCTAGAAACTGACTTCGCTGAAATAATGGCCTGACTTTGACCTGCCATAGGTCAGCGAGTTTACAAGGTACATCTAAATTGGTAATACCGAACGATCTGCTGTTTAATTGTGTACTGAGACGCAAATTGTGGCGCGGCTACAACGCGCCGCTCGGAAAGCATTCTGGAAAAACCCTCAGGGGGATCAAGCTGACCCACACCCGAGCGCGTGTTAATAACCACATAATTACGGCAGCACGTCTTATACTCAATGCTCTTGCCGAAAGCCTTGCTTAGTGTAGCTCCCCCCAGAAATACAAAGCATGCTTCGTGGATCTTGCGCAAGTTCTTTTTTATTTACACCCTAATTGATTGCTTCCGATAATACAGCGGACGGCAATGGAGCATTTTGTTTCCTTTTACACCCCAATTGATTTGCTTCCGATAATACACAAAACTGCAATATACCATTTTCCTTCCTAGAACTCCAAAATGCAAGAAGGTACGCCGGAAACACCTCGGTGGGCAATGATCAACTGCACTATTCCTTGTGCAATCTGTCTGAAAGCATGGTTCATCTTATTTTGGCGGGTTTTAATGATTTGTGGTCCTGCCGCGCCTATCCTGAGACATGGAGAGACACTATCATGATTCTGTTCCCAAAACTAGGAAAAGACATTAAGGGCCCATCAAATAATTGCCCCAATGCACCCACAAGCTGCCTAGAAAATATTTTTGGGCAAATGGTGGTGAAGTGGATCTCTCGCGTCATAGAACAAGACTGCCTGCTTAGAAAAAATCACTGTGGTTTTCGACCTAATCGCAGCACGATAGACCACATCAGCCGACTGAAACTGGCAATAGACGTTCCTTTAAACATCGTCATTACACGACAGCTGTCTTCCTAACGTTAGCCGAACCTACGACATGGTTTAAATGTGCACCTGTTTTCGAACTCCAACAGTAAGGGAGTAAAGGCCATTCAGCAGATTACCTCATCGTTTTTTCTGTTTGTCATCAGACCATTTCGTGTGCAGTGCAGCTCCGCCGTTTCTGGTACTCACCATCTAGAGAACGGCCTCCCATAGGGGAGCTGGATCTCACCGATGCTCTTCAACTTCATGTTAAACTAATTAATTGGCTTATTACCATCGGGTAGTTCCTCCCACTTTTTGCGGACGAAAGCGCAATCTGGTGTCCGGACGCTGAGTATAACCATTCGCTGCCACGGCTCCAATCCGGCCGGAACAAGGTGCAGCGGTGGTCAGAGCGGCACGGGCACCATTTCGCCACTCCCAAATCTGCACTTATGGCTTTGAGCAAAAATATGCGTGGTACTCTTAATTTTCGGCTCCAAGTAGACAGACACAACATTCCTTTCGCTTCGTATTTTGAATTGTTTGGTGTTTAACTCGACCCAAGATTATCAATGCGACAGCACGTGACATATGTTCGCTCCAATTACCTTAGATGGCCAAATTTCTTTAAACGCATTCCCGGGGCACGGTACGGTGCCAACCTCGAGAAGTTATTACTTCTATATAAATCCTTAGTTTTTCCGATAACTGAGTATCGCTCGGTGGTATATGCAGGAGGAAGCCAGCACACTCTTCAAACTCTACACAGTATGCAAAGTGTGTTCTTGCGAATGACACGAGGAGTTCTGCGCACTACTCCATTTTCAGCGCTTGAAATGGACGCGTACGCTATGCCTATTGCTCTTCGACGAATGGGACACACATCACGACACGTAACAAATGGCAACAAAACTTCAATCACCCAGCTTTAAATCTATGCATATCTTGGCTCGCATTGACCAGGACTGGAGAGGGCCTGCAGAACACTGGTCAGAACTGACGATAAGGTCTCGGACCACTGTCTACTGCACCACTCTTCATTTTGTATTACCCCACTCTTCCGTGCCACCTGCTGTAATAGCACCACCGTGACAGTTCATCCCATGAAAAGTTTTGTTTCTTTTTGACGATCGCAAACATTTTTTTTTACAATTTCCTGTCGCCAATAATCGAAGTAGCAGTTTTGTTTACACCGATGGCTCCAAGGCCAATTACCACACCGAATGTGCAGTAATTTGCACTGAACATTGCCATAAAAATTGTCGGTTACCGGATGGCACCTCAGTATATTTGGCTGAATTATTTGCCCTTCCTCTTGCATTACAGCACACTCAATAGCACACCTATAATACGAGGGCAATAGTGTTTGTTCGGATTCGAAGAAAGCTATGCAACCTTTTATCGATTCAGACTTCACTCACCACCTCTTCGTTAGTATCTTCATGCTCTATCATATGTTAAACACACAGGGCATGAACATTAAATTTCTGTGGGACCGGGACATAGGGGCATTACGGGTAAAGAGCCGGCTGATCGACCAGCCAAGGAAAGCTTTGACAGCCCGGTTGATCATGCATCTGCGAAACTTTTATTTGCACTCTAAAAAAAACATTTTGGCAACGACGGTGGACCGATATTACCATAAGGCAACTTACTGGTTTACTTCAAGCAGTGTAAAAGTCAGAAAACGTGCGTGTTTTTTTCTCTTCAACTACAACTATAACTACACCGATTTAAAATGATATCTGCCCGACGTGCAATGGCCCAAACGGGCCGAAGCGCCTCACACAAATAACATTCAAAATCAAGCGTCGCGAAAACAACATACCGTGCGACCTGACAACGGGGTGTTTCTCACTCTCCGTGATCCGGTCCACTCTGTACCCGTTTCCCTTTCTGTCAGTCCGGATCGGCACCACCTTGTTGCCGGTACCGATGGTACACACCCAACCAGCACAACCACTGCAGCAGTGCTAGTCCCGGCCACTCAGCAAGAACCAGCCGGTTTAGCACGGGCCCTGAGGTGCAGGTAATCACGCTTGTGTTGCACTGCACGGGGGTCAGATCATCGATTGAGAAAAACAACAGGGCAAAAACTGCCACCTTTCGCGATCGCACAGAAGATCCTTTCCTGGGTGGCCCTGTGACTTCATGGGCATGCCATCGCATTATTTATCAGATTCAGCGTCAAATGGTCTGAACTAACGATGACGGTTACCGTCGCAGGCAACACTATGTGCCCCGTTTCTTAACGCTCCTTGCTGAACCCAAAACCCCGGACTGCTGCATACTGGGTAGTGATGCCGTGACGTCATCGTGGGACTAAGTCACATGGCGCCAACGCTATGGCGGCGTGAAAACGCTGTTCTTTGCGAGCTGGTTTAAACACAAATATTTTCATGGGTCGACTTTTTTGACCTTGCACATGCAAGGAAATTTTCTCAGCTGGGAAGTGGTGTGGGTTTGCACCAGAGCTACAGAATTATTGCTGAAATGCGTTTCTAGCTTACCCCGACAGAGATATGGGTAACTCATTCACCAGCGGTTTATCCCAGGGAGGTCTAGCCGAAGGTGCTTACGAACAGGCTGTATAAAGGAGTATAGCATACAACAACATAGGATGGGAATGAGACACGGCAGGCCAGACGGACTCGTGGCACCCTGGGACGCGCAATGATAAGTTGGAATGCACATTCTGTAGCCTTAGGGGAAGCGTTTTCATGCAGGATGCAGTCCGCACTCATGACCGTTACGCTGCGAAGCAGACAGCTCGTGCCACAGACAGTGAGAGCTTTCAGGCGAGCAAGAGCGTGCGGCGGGCGGCATCGGGAAGGGTGCCGACCAACTCACCGCTCAGATGATGGCTGCACGCCGGCAACCCGGACTGCTAGGGCATGATCAGCTCCGGTAATAACTGCCTGTTCGGTGAACACGCCTCCAGCCGCGTTCCAGATCCCAATGTGCACGCAAGCGGCGTGCGATGTTCATCTTTACCGTATTTGGCCATCCCCGGTCTACGTGGACGACACTCGTCCACAAGATTCGCGAAAACAGAACAGCCAGCTTGCCCGGTATTACAGTGGTCCTCATTTTCTAGCACGCGAGTCCACATAACCCGGCAGAGAAACATGCGGGACCATCGGCGCAGGCTGATAGGACATGGCCGTATTAACAGCCACCCTGCTGAAGTAGACCCCATTCACCGAAGACGACGGGCTGAGCAATGTAGCTTGTCACGCACACAGATCAACGCCAGGCGCGTGCCTGTTTCAAGATAACCCAGTGAGGGCATTGGCAGGGGGGCCGGCCTGGCGCGGACCTACCATTTGCTCAGTCTCGCAGGAAACATCGTCGTATTCTACGTGTAAAAGTCTCCAGGCGGGCAGCGGCACTGCATTCTGCCACAGCATGGTCGGCAATAAAATGCTGTTGACGGACAATGTTGCATTTATTGTCGATTTTACAGTGTGTAAACGTCTCCGGCTATATATCGATCGACCGGGTTGTGCACAAAGTTCACTGAAAAGCGTGGTTCCGCACACAGCAGAGATGCCGAGTGAAGTGACAGCTTAAAGCGCAAGCAAAGCGTAGCGGCTCAACAGCTGATAATGCTATATCCAGCAGCGTGACTGCAGTAACTTTACTCGGCTCGTCCTCATCTCTATTCTTTACAATATGATTATCAAAGAACAAACCAGACAATACATTTACAAACAAAACATCGTGGCGACTGGCCGGCGTTGTAATAAGCCAAGGCTCGTGTCAATTAAAAGACGCGTGGTGCTCGGGCGGTAACCAACAGCGTCCACAACCGTTCTTAGCACCAAACCGTGATCACGCTGACAACGACGTGCGAGACGCAGCTACGTATCACTACAAACCTTGGATGCCATTAATGTTATATCAGTGAATTAACCCATCTGAAAAATTCCGGAAGACTGTTGTCTGTTCTTCTCAATAATCACAAGCGTCCTCAGCCCGTGTCGTTGGCAGACCGCGCGTCCTACTGAGCATGGCAGGGCAATGCGGCCCAGCCGGCGTTACCTCCTTGCTGGTCGTTCTCGGACACAGACAATGGAATCGGCTATTCGCTTCAGCAGCACTGTGTCGCATTTGACGTCCAGGGCGTACGACTGAAAGGGCCCAAAAGCAATTCAGCTGCGTCATACAGTATCGGACGACCAAGCACACTTCCGATCAGCCAACTTCAACAGCCGACCACGGAAAAAGAAGAGCCATGCTACTATGCTCGTAAATACGTCTCGCTGTGTAATAGATCGGACCATACGCGGCAAGAGAAAATATAATCAGGTGACATTTGGCTGCATGAAAGGTTTAATTTACCGGCCTGATAACAAACCGCTTAGTTATATCGTGTTTTGCATAGGTAGCGGCCTGATGCAGATTGATGCCGTTTGCGTAAGGATTTGTTTCTCACCGTGCTCCGGGCGAACTCTGTCTGGTAATAATCAGATACGCTGGCCACCGCCCGTTTGGCATCTTCCACCTCCTGCCCCCGCCGTACGATGATGCCGAAACAGCGCTCCTTTCCTCCCAGCGAGTCGAAGTAGAAGACCACCTTGTTGCTGTTGTTGACCTCCCAGCGCTTCAGACCTGAATGGAGTATGTTTCCGGTCGTCAGAAAACAAGATAAGCCTCCCAAACGGTAGGTAACTCCTACAGCTTATCTTAAGAGCGTGGCAACTCAGGTTTAAACTTCATGCCATGTCTAATTGCTAGATAAAGAATTTATTCCTAGTGTTGGCAGAACTAATTCAAATTAGACGACCTGCTCGTTAAAAACCGACTACTCAGATCTGACGACCTGCTAGTGGAAATAGACAACTCAGATCAGACAATCTGCTAGTTAAAACAGACCACTCTTATTCGACGAACTGCTGGTGAAAACAGAAAGCCCAGATCTGACGACCCGTCTGTGAAAACAGGTAATTGTGGCAACGGGAGGGCATATGTCTACTATATGCCACCCAATCCAACTTACCCAACTCGACGTTCTGCTTGAGGTCATTCAGACTTCCCTTGTTGGGAATGATCCCGCTGACCATGTCCAACTCGACCACCGCCATATTGGTTTCGCTATCCTCCTTCAGGTAGCTGACGCAGATGTCTTAAAGAGCACAACATTGCTGTGTTATCATAACAACCAGACAGGCATGTTGTCATGTGTAAAGCCTGTTGAGCGAGAGATGCGTTCGAGCACTTTTTTAATTGCACTAGGCACTGCAGTGTCTTCTGATGCTTTCACATGTTGGTGAAACATGCCAGGGACAATGCAAGCCGGTCAAGAGCCCCCTCCCATGACATTCCCTCGCATCGCACGACAGATTTGAGACCAAACCGAGCAGAGGTAAACGAGTGGTCTGAAGACCAGGTGAGACAAGAGACAGCTAAAGGAGTCACTAGGCTCGTCACTCGACTCACCTATGGTATGCTTCAGACATTCCCGCTGGTTCATTTTGGGCTTGGCGGTCACGTTGATCGTCAGTGCGTCGTTTGGACCGGCTGTATACACGTTGTATTTCAACGAGGCCTGGCGAAACAACCATGTTACTTGTCATGCGCGTGGTGCACGTACGTCGTCATACATTGCTGGAGCTAATTTGTATGGTGCAGCAGAAGAGGGCATGTCTCGTGGTTCGCATTCCGTGCATGTTATCATTGAACTGAATGTCCTTTACTCAGGCTCTCAGTGAACCACATCAGCCGTCGAACAGCTGAAGCGAAAACGCTCTATACTAAGAACACGGTGTTCAGCTCTCACACAGTTAAGTGACATACATTCTCAGCAGATGCATTCGAGGCTGGCTCATGCTGTACGTCCTCACCGAAAATGGACAACTTGTGATCCGGAAGAAGCGGCATAGTTTCGCAACATGAGTTGAGTGGGAAGCACAGCCCCATTCTCAACGGAAAAGCAAACTACGCCCCTGCATGGACACCTTACAGCCTATTATCGGCACGAACCGACCAGAATGAAGACACGTCTGGCATTTAGACCGCACGGCCGGCGGTGCATTCGATGCCGACTCTGATATGAACTAGGGTACATCTGGCACCATCTGGGCTTCCCGTGCGTGCGACCTGCTTTAGTACACAACGTTTATCATAAAGGTCCTACTGCGGGTATGCCAGCAGCTGCAAGCATGCCAGCACAATCCGGCAGTAAAGATCCTCTTCCTTCCTGATCCCTTCTATTCTCTTTTCCTCTCTTCTTCTCTGCTCTCTCTCTCTCTCTCTCTCTCTCTCTATCTCTCCTCTTCTCTCTCTCTCTCTCTATCTCTATCTCTCTCTCTCTCTCTCCTCTCTCATCTCTCTCTCTCTCTCTCTCTCTCTCTCTCTCTCTCTCTCTCTCTCTCTCCTCTCTCTCTCTCTCTCTATCTCTCAACACGGTTAACGGTTGCTCCATCACTGACCTGCACCAGGCGCAGCCGGCGCCATCGCGACCTTACCATAGTTTACAAAGCAGGGCTTTACTTCTGACCCGCACCAGGGTGCAGCCGGCACCACCCCGACCTTACCGTGGTTTAACACGGTTGCTCCACCACTGACCTGCACCAGGGCGCAGCCGGTTGCCCTGTGCTCTGACGTGGACGTGACCTGGCAGCAGCGTGATGTCACGAGTTTGCATCAGTAGCTGATTGTCCGCCGTCACGCTGATGATGTCGTTCAGCGAGCTGTCATCAGAGGACGTTTACTCGCAGGTCGGCGCTGCTGGAGCGAGGCAGGTCGGCCGAGAAGACGGCCAGTGCCTCCAGCGCCAGCACCGTATTCCTGTCACGGCCGTCCGCCAAGTGAGCAGCGCACAGGACATTGTAGAACCCATTCGATGAGAGTGGGTCGGGACTCAGGGGTACAACAGGACCCCTCAGAGGGTAATGAGCAGAACACATGGATATGACAGTCCCCTCCCTGGGAGTGAGCAAGACACACAGGTACGGCAGAACACTCCGAGGGGTGAACAAGCCATACACATACAATGGACTCCTCCGTGGGGAGTGAACAAACCACACAGCTACGACAGGCCCCTCCGTGGGGGGTGAGCAGGATACACAGGGGTATGAGGTAGGAGTACACGGGGAGGGGTATGCATGATACACATGTACGGCAGGCCCCTCCGTCGGTAGTGAACAGGACAAACAGGTACAACAGGCCCTTCTGAGGGGGGACTAGCAAGCCACACATGTACGACAGACAGCAGGCAATGTGTGGCAGTGTCGTGACCAGCTAGTCCGGCAGACACGTGACGTCCACCCCAGTGATTTCTATGACCTGCGTGGACACGAAGCCGCCGCGACTGTTGCGCTGCTGGGTGATCCAGCGCACGGCACCCAGCGCGTCGCTGAAGTGTTCGCTGCTGTCGTCACCGGCTTTCTCCACCAGCTTCATCGTCAGGATGTTATAGGCACCCATCTCTACGCTGAGCGCCCGATTCTCGCCAGACCCTGGTGACATACGCCACGATAAGGTTTTGAAAGTACGCTGGTCAACCGCTGTTCAGGATAGGCCAGCAATTGAGGAAGGTGTGTTCAGTACATTAGATTCAGTGAAATGCAGAAAATGGTGTCACATTTCATATGTGCTCACTGTAGAGTTCCATCAAAACACACGAAAGAGTACAGAACACACACAACTGTGCACACTCAGCCTTCACCAACGCATTCTGCAAGCATACTATGCAGTTGTCAAAGCACCACAGCTATCACAAGCTGATCAACTAGCGTTCGGACGTTCACAGCACCACTCCCTCCAGCGAGTGTTTACTGTTGTGCTGGTGCGGCGGGATGACCTCTCACCTTCGTTGCGCCAGTACACCAGGCCCTCCTCCCTGGTGGCGCGGCTCTTGAGCTCTGTCAGACCAAACCGCGCCTCGTCCAGGCGGCCGCCACGGCGCGCGCGTGCGTAAGCAGCGTCAGCGTGTACAGGTCCTGCAGTACAGGAGCTGATGTCCTGGTGAAGGCACATGGCGGCTGATGAGCGGCGGCCAACATGACATTCCTCGAACGGTGAGCGATGGGCTGACATGGCATTCCTCGGACGGTGAGCGTTGGCTGACTTGGCTTTCCACGGACGGTGAGCCGTTGCTGACATGGTATTCCACGGACGGTGAGCGGTGGCTGACATGGCATTCCTCGGACGGTGAGCGGTGGCTGACTTGGCTTTCCACGGACGATGAGCCGTTGCTGACATGGTATTCATCGGACGGTGAGCGGTTGGCTGACATGACATTCCTCGGACGGTGAGCGGGTGGCTTGACATGGCATTCCTCGGACGGTGAGCGTTAGCTGACGTGGCTTTCCACGGACGGTGCGCGGTGGCTGACATGGCATTCCTCGGACGGTGAGCGTTGGCTGACATTGACATTCCTCGGACGGTGAGCCGTTGCTGACATGGCATTCCACGGACGGTGAGCGGTGGCTGGTAACATGGCATTCCACGGACGGTGAGCGGCGGCTGAATACAGTCCCAGAGGTTAGCTAACCCACGGACGGTGAGCGACGGCCAGCACGACCCCCGGCGGTAGCTAACCCCACGGACGGTGAGCGGTGTCCAACACGGCCCTCAGGGTAGCTATCCTACAGCGCTAAGTCGCTCACGTCTCTGTGATACAAAGGCAACAGGTTGTAATAAGAGCTACTGGAATGTGTTCCTGCACACGGCGGGTAGACATGAAAGATCAGCCCTTTTGGTGCGCTGTTTAACCCAATTTGTGCTGTTTAATCGGACCCGTCTCGCTACCACACTGCGGTATGGTATAGTGCGAGCGTACATCGGGAACACAACCACAACCAGACACAGCAAGAGAACGGGGGGGGGGGGGGGGGGCGGAGGCAGATGCCCTTCTTCCCCACTGTAAGCAACGCATGTTTTACTAAGCACCATAGAGGACTCCTTTATTTATTATGGCAAGCACTCAGCGAGCTCCGACCCTACCCACACACCCCTCCGTATTGCAGAATTTCTGGCTGTGCCCCTGACTGCAACGGTGCACGTTTGTTTCATCTATGGATCATTTTATCGCTTTCTGCACATAAGGTCCGCCTTCTGACACATTTTTGTCTGGTATTCTGTTGTATGGTGAGGTAAAGGGAGCGAGTGAGTATTGTTTACAGAAGGCAAAAGCGATTATTACTTCGGCCCACAACAAATTTCCTGATAAACTTCATGTAACAGTCGTTCTCGGCTGCTTTTATGTTCGTCCTGCGGACCCAGCAGGTCTCTGACGACGGCGATCTGAGCCCGCTCGGAGCCGGGCACCAGGTCGGCCGGCAGAAAGCAGCGGCCAGTCAACCTCCCCGTCTGTTCGGCTCGCTCGACAGGTCGGCACCCTCCGCTGCCGGCGTACGGGTCGGGTCAGGGAAGCGGTACCCCAAACAGGGCGAGCCCTACTGCGGCACAGGGACACGTCCGTAGCATGCGGCGGACGAAGAAAGCCGCGTCGCGATCAAGGAAACTACGCCAACACACGGCTGAGCATACGTGCGTCCCAACACTGCCAGCAACGCCGCGCCCTCCAAACCGTCACTAGCTGCAGCTACACCGGCACCGGCCTTAGTCGTCCGTTAACATCCGCTTTGCAGCGCACTCACGGCTGGATGACATGAAGAGGAGTGGATGACTTCACGCTCGAAGCCCTCCGGCTCCACCAGAATCGGCCCCTGGTCACGGCGTCCCTGTCCAAATGGTCATCGCGTTGGCTGCATGCATCCACGGCAAAATGGGATATCGGTTGAGAGTAGTCACGCCTTTCATATTTCATTGAATCAAATAATGAAGGCATTTTATTTTTTCAGCAAAATATGTATGTCATTACAGGACAGAAACGTGCATTGCGATAGGAAACACTACCGGTTCATTTGCAACTCTTAACATCCTATGCAAACCAGGGCGTCTGGGCTCGTGTCTCGGTTACGCACATCTGCCGTGTTTAAAGCTGACTCACACGGCGTGCGCCACGCTCCGTACTCCAGCAACGTGGAGCGCCACGCACCTTGAAGTAGGGCACCACCCTCTGACCCACACTCGGCGGGGAAGCGGAGTACACTTCAGCCACCACGGTGATGTTAACGTCGCCGAGCTGGCCGGGCCGCAGCCGGTACGGCACGACCTCGGCCACGCCGGTCGACACGCACGAGGTCACCACCGGCGCCGAGAGCGTCTCGAACTCGTCCGACGCCACCAGTGTCAGCTTGACCTGCGGCCACAGGCGCCGGTGCATGTTTAGCGTCCACAGGGCCCGGTGGGATATTCGGCGTGGAGCCAGTAGTGTCCGAGCGGACAGCTGGTTAAGCTAGCGTTGTTGATTCAGTCTTCTCCAGCAGTGGGCGTATGGTGACGCCGAGCACCGACAGAGATAACACGAGCGAGCAAGATAACACGGAGCGGAACAGAGCGCTCAGGAGAGCAGCGAGGACCCACCGGCAGCGCCTCTTCGTTGTAGTTGAGCACCGAGACCTTGAGCACTAACGTCTCGCCGCGTTTCACCGAGTAGGGCGGCGTGTAGCTGACGAAGAACGGCTGGAAGCTGGTGAGGGAGGCTGACGGCGCCACGCCAAGGCCGGCCGTCTCCGAGCTGCACACGGCTCCGCGCCCCACTCGGTGATGGTGTCCGGCACCTTCTGTGTCAACGTCACCGAGCCGTCGTCCTGCCCGGTGCGGAGGTGGATGGCTGTGACACTGCCAGGCGGCCGAGGAACGGCACCGAATTGTGGCTTGATGGTGTAATATCCTAGTTCCTGTATGTGGCATGGTGGGTTTAAATGTGAACATGACTAACGGCACGGAATCATGACTTGGTGGTGTAGCTGTCCAGTTCCTGCATGTGAGGAGCGGCACGGAATCGTGACTTGATGGTGTGGCTGTTCTAGTTCCTGCATGTGGCATGGCGAGTTCTAATCTGTATAGGCACGGAATCGGACGTGATGGTTCAATTCTGTCCTAGTTCCTTGGATGCGACATGGTGAGTTATATATGTCGAAAACGAACCAACGCTTGAGGTATAAGAATGTGTTGGTGAAGGGTGAATATCAAGAACTTGGTGCTCTTTATGATGATAGTGCTTAAAATTACGAACTTATTATCTATCATGTGTGATCTTGCCCACGCTCATGATCTATACTAGTTAGGCATATTTCTGGATACATTTTGAGGACAAAAAACGCATCATGCCCATTTCTTAAAAACCAAATTATGATTTCTGTTTTGTTTACATGATCGTTGTAAGCTGTTGACGGTTTAAACTAATAGGTTAATGTGCATCCAACATACTACTGGCTGGTTACATGTACAATGTGAACATACTCAAACGACATGAACGATAGGTAGCCAAGACAGCAAACCCATGAAAGCTTCATAGTACGAGGATCAACGGCTCAAGTCCAATCCAACGCAGCCTCGTCACAGTCGGTGCGTCCATGTTCGTCCACTGACCCGACCGTATGGAGATTCGAACAGCCACGTCTCGGGGAAGTAGGTGCGAACCACGTCAGGCACCTCGGACGGAGGCGGCGCCGGGGCCGATCCGGAGGGCGAATATCGAGCACCGGCGTCGGGCCTCCTGGTAACCGGAGGAACCGTTTAGCACGTACCTCAGCGCTTCAGATACATTGTTCTTTTCCTTTCTAGATGTAGCTCAAAAATGCGTTACTTTGCTTTCCGGACTGAACTTAACGACAGTTAATGAGTTCGCAATATATTAGATACCCAGACGGGTTGCGAGGCAGTCATTCATCATCACCGTTATCATCAATCGATGGTTAACGGCGGCTGTGACGCCCCCCGTCGGCTCTGAAGTCGGGCAGCGTCATCTGTCTCATCGCGCCCTTTAGGTGGTCGCGTCGGAAAGACTTGCGGTTAGCGCCGACACGCGTTGACATGGGGCGCCGACATCGACCCTCAGAACCATGCTGACCACCGAATACCAGTCAACTGGGGATTACAAAGCCTGCCACCCTGTTATACCCCAGGACATTGCGAGAGGTTGGTTAGATATGGGTGGAATGAAAAACTTCTAATTTACTAGGATATGATTCGGTGACAAAAACTGACCACCTTTGCAATACCAGTTGATGAACCAATTGCGCCGGAAAATGTAAAACTAGCATTGCAACATATTAAATTTAACATCATACTACAACACATCATCCCTCTAGCTCGACAAAACGAAAAGTTTACTATTGTGTCTGTACTTGCTAACGCCTGCAGCGTGGGCGTGTGCACTGCTCCGAAACGATGACGTTGTTCGCTTTTGTATGAGCACAGTGTCGGCATAAAATGCTGCCAAACAAAGAAGCTTTTGATCAGGATAGTTTTTTAGCCGGGTGTGTAGAACGTACTAACAAACTCTACTATATCAGTGCTGACCTCACAGATAAGTAATAACACAATGTTGTCTTTTTCAATGCCCCCGCAGATCGGCTGCTTTTCAGATTTTTTTGGCCAAGGTTCACTTCACATACTAAAACGGTATGAAATACCAAATAACTAGGCTTATATGGTGGTACAGAATGTACTGGCCACAGCATCTTGCAACAAAACGTGATCAGTTTGCTACGTAGCGTTTAGAGCGTTGTGTCCTTTGAGACAGCTTTGATTTGATTTGTTTGAGAGTTTGATTGCTCGCTACGCGCAGCTCTACGTCCTCCTGTGTACCGCAATAGCTTTATTTTTGCAGTTGCCAAATGCGTGGCGCGGAGAAGAGACAAAATGATTCACTAACCCTTGGACTCAGGTCAGCGCGCGCCGTTTTGGTTTGTTCCCAGCAGGGGGCCATCATCACAGCTTGAGAATTGGTCGGGCGGGCGGCTCTTAACGTAGGCGGCGACCGTCACAAAGACGCATGGCTGAGCGCGGCGTTGCATGGCAACGTCGACTGCGTCGCTTGGAAGGCAGTCGTCACGCATAAATGCTGTGGTCGGTCTTGTCTATTATCGTGCAGCGTGGCCTCACGCTTGTAGTATGTGGCCTCGGTGCGTGCTGTTATGTCGCGGGTGGACAGAAATTCGAAGTGGTGTGCGAGCATTGGGCAAGGAGTAAGCATCAAAGGAGGTTTTTTGGCAGCAAGATGCCATCTGCGACGCAGCGTCTTGCAAGAATGTCAAACGGCGCAACGAAGGCACTTAAGTTTTTCACACTTCTAAAAATCGATCTAATTATCGTGAAAACATGAGTACACCGTTGCTCTTTGATAACTATAAATGTGGAGAATGCGGTAATCATCTTCAATATTTATGACTGATCCTGGTCATCTGGTTAAGACCAGTCCCAGACCCACTGTTAATGCCTTCCACCAAGTGCGTTCTTCCAAGCAACTGGACATCGCCGGCACGCCGAAGTAGATACGTGTTGTGTTAAAAGGAAAGTTTACGCCTGTTTACGCAGAGATCTTTCAACCCGATTCACAGTTTAGTGCATGCACAATCCATGCCGCTTTGTGCAGTATGTAGACTACAGTACGAGATTCAAACGAGACTTTCCAACCATAATCTTGTTTACAAAGTGGGGCCTGACTACCACACAGGGCTCGGAGGGCCGCGCTGTTTTCGTGTATTTTTGCGTCGAAAAACAGTAATGGCGGCGCCACCCCCTGGGTAGCTGATACACTGAACTGAGACCATGAAACGGAACCATTCAGACAAATCCGTGGCTATGACCAGGAGGGGTAGATATGAGAATGGTGCACGCAGTGCAGTACTCGTCGGCCGTTGACCGTCCCTCTTACCCGCCCGGATTGTCACGCTGGACCACAAAAAATAGTTGTGTATGAAAAACAAGTATGCGATAACCAAAAAGGGCATGTCCAGGTCCAACATGTTTTGCTGTTGCAATGAAAAACAACACTGGCGACTTGTAGTACGGTCTGATTAATGCGCCTGCTAGGTACGTGGAAATGACCGTGTTTTGTTGTGTCGCAGATCTAAGATCCAGCTGCAGTGGAAGTCGCATGGCATGCGGACAAGATGGAAGCCGTACCTACCAGCAAACCGTCGTGAGGCGTCCAGTTGCCCGCCCTGAACGAGTCGGCGAGGACGACGGGGGTCAACGAGTCGGGCGAAGACAAGCTCCATGGCGGTGCGGCGAGAGGACCCGAAAATGGCCCCCGCCGCGGCCGACGAGATGGACGAGGTCAACATCCAGCACGGGGCGCTGACCCTCGTTGCCGCCTTCGTGGCCGGTCAGGTGCAAACCACCTCACCATCCAATGTAGGGGACTGTCGACCCGAGAGGCACCACCCAGCTGTGTGCCCAGGGACCAGGTGGATACATACGATTAGCCAAAGTGGTCTGATGGGACCGTTGCCGGCCTGAACGAGCACTGTCGAGGCTTTCGAGATCGTGTTCCAGCTAGTGATGGGTCCGAGGCATGAATGAGATATTGGGTAGCTGCGTGAAAGCCAAATGCATCAGCTAAGGTATGTCGTGACTGGTAATTCACTGAATGTGTGACGTCACTGGTCATGCGTTTTTACGGGTCTTTTCTGGGCCGACCTAAGGCCATTAGGCATCAGATAGCGGTATGACGTCACTGGTATTCAATTAAGCATCAGGTGCTATCAGTCATGTTTCATCTTTACCTTTCGCACCTATCTACTGCAAATATTCGCGCGTCACATAAAGCCGAATCACCTGAGCGTGTGATGCAACTGGTCATCAGTTTACACGGTTTTACTCGGGCTTATTGAAGGACATCAAACAACATCTGACGATGTGACGTCACTGGTATCCAACTAAACGCCAGGCGCGGCAGGCCATGCTCGTCTTTACCTTTCGTACCTGTCTATTGTAGGCATTGGCGTGCTGAAGGAAGACTCTGTGAAGTCTCTTGAGTGTGTAACGTCACTGGTCATGAGTTTTTTACGGGATGTTTTGAACCCCCCATAGGGTAAGACATCAGCTGACGATATGATGTCACTGGTTTTTGACTTAACCTCATGCGCAACAGGCCATGTTCCATCTTTGCTTTTCGTACCTGGCCACTGCAAGCATTCAAGTACTATATGAAGGCCGTGCCGATCCACCTGAGTATCCACCCACACCTAAGGAGACTCAGCAGAGCCTTCATTCAGCTCGTCAACATTTGTAATAGACAGGAACGAAAGGTAAAGATAGAACATGGCCTGTGTCGCCTGATGTGTTAAGTCGGACACAGTGACGTCATATCGTCAGCTGACGCATTATGTCGTATAGGGGCTTGAAACGAGCCCGTAAAAACTCTTGACCAGTGACGTTGCACACTCAGGAGACTCGACAGAGCCTTCATTCAGCACGCCAATGATTGTAATAGACAGGTGCGCAAGGTAAAGATGAAACATGGCCCGTTGCACTTGATCTGAACTCGAATACCAGTGACGTCATATCATCCCGTGATGCTTTACGGGATATGCTGTCTTGTGGCATTGGGCGGCCTAAGAGAATCCGCGCAAACTCATGACCAGTGACATCACACACTGAGATGATTTGGCATCACCTTGATATAGCACGCGAATGCTCCAGTAGACAGGTACGAAAGGCAAAGATCATGGCCTGTTGCGCTGCATATTTGGTATCATGCCGGTGACGTCATATTATCCGGTGATGCTTCGGGGATATCATGCCTTGTAGTCTGTGGTGGCCAAGTGAACCAGTATAAACTCATGACCAGTGACGTCACACACTGAGATGGTTCAGCGTCGTCTTGGTGTAGCACTCGAATGCTTGTAGTACACGGGTACGAAAAGTAAAGATAGAGCATGGCCTGTTGCGCATGATGTCTTGTCGAAACCCAGTGACATCATATCGTCAGCTGATGTCTTGTGGTCTATAGTGGGCTCAAAAGGGTACACAAATTAATGGTCAGTGACGTTACACACTCAGGCAATACGGCAGAGCCTTCCTTCAGAACGGCAATGCTTGCAATGGACAGGTACCAAAGGTAAAGGTGGAACATGGCCTGTCGCGCCCGAAGTTTATTCGAATACCAGTGACGTCACATCATCAGTTAATGCCGTATAACCTTTCTTCGGCCTAAAAGAGGCCGTAAAATCTCATGACCAGTGACATCACGCACAGTCGAATGCCAGTGACGTCACATTGTTAGCTGATGCTTTATGGTCTTCAGCTGGCCGCAAAAAATCCGCCCATACTTGCAGTAGACATATACGAAAAGTACAGATGGAGCATGGCGTTGCCTGATGTTCAGCCAAATACCAGTGACGTCATATCGCCAGGTGATGCCTTACGGCACTTCGTCGGTCATAAAGGGCCCGTGAAGACCCACGACCATTGAATTTCTTACAATCAGTCGCATAGCAGTGACGTCGTTAACTGACACCTTGTGGCCTTCAGTTGGCCCAAAAGCACTGGTGAAGCTCATGACCAGTGACGGCACACACTCAGGTGGTTCGGCAGCTTTCATCCAGCACGCCAATGCTTGCAGTAGACGGGTAGAAAGGTAAAAATAAGGCACGGCCTGTTGCGCCCAGTATTTATTCAAATACCAGTGACGTCGTGCTATCCGGTGATACTTCACGGACCATAACACAGCGTGGCCGTGGGGCCTAAGTGCACTCGTATGAATTA